ACAATAAATTTCCTAGGTGTCCCTTCAATTACCAACTATATCTGTATTAAAAGGTGTAATATTTGGAGACATTATGCCTTCTATAGATGCAGCTAAACGATCTGCTGCTTTTAAAACTTGTATTAAATTGTATGAAATAGGCGAATTATCCGAGAATTTATTGCCGACTGTAAACGAAATAATACACGATACAGATCATCTATTTCCAAATTGGATAGAGGAAGATTGTAAGGAGATAAGCGGTACTGTTAGAAAAAGAAGATCTCATGAAATTCATGTAATTATTCAACTACTACTATTATTATTTTTATTTTCATAGTTCTATGGACGTATGTATTATTATTAATATATCGTCCAGCACATTACAGGTTCCCTTCGTGATCCTTATCACCGCCCCTTCATAGCTTGAAATAACTTCCCTAAATTTCGAATCAAAACTGGTCTTCAGATCAGTTCAATCAGTTCAATCTCACGGATTAATTCTCTTCCTATTTATCCCAGTCGAGCTTTTAAAAAATATAACAACAATATAATGAGCGTAGTTTCTTTTGGAAAATCCCGTGCATCCTTTACTAATTACGTCTGCACGCCGCGGCTTCCTGTCCAGATCTCTTTGAAGCTCCTACTATGAATAAACGAGTCGCCTGGAAATAACCTTCTTGTCCTTCTTCCCACGGCGACTCAGACCGGCTCGCAACGATTTATTTATTAATTTATTTTCTTAAATAAAATAAATAGTAACTTATGAAATATTATAAAAATTATATGAAAGAAGTGTTATTAAACAATATATTTTTTGTATAGCATCCAAAACCATTATTTGGTGCATATCCTTCAACAGGAACCGAATTATATCTTCATATTCTTAATATTAATCCAGTGTATTCAGTACCACAAGATAATAGAAATTTAATATTTTATAATTTATTAAACGATCTAGCAGGATTTGGAATACTTTCAACGAAATCAATTCCAAAGGTAAATAAATATTCAAAGTTAATAAATATACTATATTTATAAAGATTTGTATATATGGGTAAATTTAAAGAATATTATTTGTTTTGTATTCATTAGATTCCATCATTTCCTATCTTCATGAATGTTGGAGAACTAAATGTTAATACTAAAGTTGATTATGCAAGACTAGTTTTAAATGATAAACAGATTGAAGAACTGAAAATTTTTCATACTACAATATTTAGTAAAATTGTATCTGCAATTAAAGAATTCATGACATTTGATATTGATAATCTTGATAATTGTTTTCTTATTGTACCAAGTAAGTACCAACTTTTTCTTTTTTTGCATAATTTAACCCATAAAAAAATTTTATTTATTACAAAATTCCTTTTTTTTACAGCTGATAATGAAAACAAAATAAATTGGAATGTTGTTAAGAAATACAAATCTATCAATTATACTAAATCTCTTGCATCGTTAAAACCTTCCGATTACGAGTTAGCATTGATTGTCCCTAATTATAGAGCATCTCCAAATGTATATATTGTCACACAAGTATGCGATGACCTTGTACCTAATTCATGTTTTCCGGGTTGTGATTTTCTTACTTATGTTGAATATTATGAGGAGAAACATGAGTTAAAAATAAAAGATTTAAGCCAATCAATGTTGGAAGTAAAATCAATTTCAAATAAAATAAATTGTATAAAACCAAGGTATTTATAAACCATCCGTGAAAAGAGAGATTAGAAAATATGTTAAATTTATATAATGATGAATATAATATACATTTTCGTACATTTTTACAGATCTATGAAATCTGGTTTAAGTAAACGAAAACGTGCAGATGCACTTGAAGATTATGATGAACATTTAGTACCAGAACTGTGTCATAAAATTGAATATCCTGCATTGTATTGGCTTAAAGCGACCACATTACCATCGATTCTTCATAGAATTTCACAATTTTTAGTTGCATTAGATTTAAGAGAGATTATTGTCCAAGAGGCAAAACTGGGTATTTCAATGTATGATCTTAAAGATCATGATTGGCCTCCTTTGATTATAGATGCCCAAGAATCTCCAACTAAATTAGAACAGGTTTTAGAAAGTACATTAGATGAAGTTATAGAAACTGAACAACCAGTGCCAGATTTGAATGGACCTGAAATCGATGGTATTATATAATTTTAAAAATTATTTAACAATATATAAGAAATACATATGTTTTATTACATATTTTATTGTATATAGTTCTAAATACCGATGCAAGTCTATATCCTTGGTCAAAAGAAGAAGAACCATCAGATTTAGAGAGAAATGCTGAGCAAATACAATTAATCGATATTCAATATTACCGTAATTTTATGTATACTCCTATACCAGAGGTAAAATTATATATATATATATACCTAATATATACACATAAGATGATTGCAAATGATTCATCAGGCTGTGTTAGAATTATCTTAAGGGGTAACACCACTATAGAATTTTCAAAAAATCGATTTTTTTTTTAGCTTAAAGTGTACTTTAGACATCTAAAAACATTATGCACATGGTCCCGAAGAAAAAACATTTTTAACATGGCGAAATCTTATTTTTACAAAGCGCCTCAAAGCGCCTCGAATAGTGATAACAAAACTTTAAACGCTTTTTTCTCGAAACTTTTACTCAATAATTTTTAAAACTGGGCGGACTCAGAACTCGAGCATTATTTAATTGATTGACTTAAAATTTTGAAGATAGTTTGATAGTTGTATTTTCTACAGAAGTACATATCCGATTTTTAATTAAATGTAAACTTTTAATTTTATAAACAATTTTCTACATTTTTTTCGTCGAAAAGTCGATTTTTTTATTCAAAGTTGCGCCATTTTCACAAAATTTGACTTAGGGAAAAATCCGTATGTACTGCTCAAGATAATAGTATAAAACTATAAATTAGGAATTTCTTTTGGTTTTTATTCTAGGTCTCATAGTTGTCCAGGTATGAGTCCGCCCGTTTTAGCAACAACAAAAAAACAATGTTTTATGCATTTTCTATCTAAAATCAATAAAAATATTTGTTTACATAGTTCAATATATGATTAATCAACCCTCAGAAAAGAAATTCTATTCCTCATTTAGTTTTCGCAACAAAAATTCTCAAAAAAAGGCTTTTTTTCAGGCTCTATAGTGGTGTTACCCCTTAAAGTTAAGTCTGGAGTCTTCTTTCTTTTTTTTTTCATATGTCATTCAGTTTTTTATTAGTAATATTTGGTAAAATACAATTTTTAAATCTTGATGAATCATTTTAACTGTCCTGTATAAACGTATATGTATATGTATATTATATATCTTTTTTTTGTAATTATTATAGGAAACTGCAGAACATAAATTCAAAATAATTACTTACTCAAGTAAACTTGATGTAACAGTACCTGCTTTAGAAATACTAGATATAAATTATAATAATATAGGACCAGACCCAGTACTAATAACACAGGTAAATAAAATATCAAATTCCATTTTATATATGTTATATCATAAAAAAACGAAGTTGGAGAATGTCAAGATTTATATGGTCGCTTATCACACATACCAAATAAGTCGGTAAAAAACAGAATATTTGGGTTTATTCTTATACATTAATATTTCTGACATACACCAAGCGACCATGTAAATCCTATCATTCTCCATTTTCGATTTGGTACGGTAACGTATATATATTCCATAAAATTGTAATAATAACAATACTTATAATAATAATAATAATAATAATATTTGATTATTTTTTCAGGCGCTTACAACTGCCGGAAATGATGTATTTGATTTGGAAAGATTAGAAACTTTAGGAGATTCTTATTTAAAATTTATTTCATCTTTATATTTATATACCCACTATCCAACTTATAATGAAGGTCGTTTGACTGCACTTAAAGGAAAAATAATTGGAAATCGAAATTTATATTATTGTGGTACAAAGAAGTCCATCCCAGGATACATGAAAGTTGACGATTTTATACCAACGAGCACGTTTATCCCTCCGGCTTATACAACATTTCGCCCTTTACAACAAATTTTATTAGATAATAAGGTTTTGATTTTCTTTATTTTCTTTTCTTTTAATTATTTAATTAATTAATATTATACTTTTATTTCCTCTACCTGATTTATCTTAAAAATGAAAATTTATTGGGCACTACTTTTCTATACAAGGTATCACCGAATGTATTGTATGATATTGAAATACCTGAAGTAGAAAGATTCTCTGGATATATAAGCGGAGAAACAAAAAATAATATGCAAATTAAAGTTTTGGATTCGATTGATGCAGAAACTCAAACAGGTATTGAGTATTTCTTAGGTATGCAAGTAGTTTCAGATAAATCAGTTGCAGATTGCGTAGAAGCATTAATAAGCGTGTATCTTAAGGTAAGTTCATTTTACTATTTAATATTATTGTATTGTTGTTTTAATTATTATTAATAATATTTTTTATAATATTATTATATACTTAAACAGAGTATGGGATTGGTAGGAGCTGTTAAACTAATGATTTGGCTTAATATTTTGCCTTCCAATACTGATATTCACTCATTATTGTATAGTGTTTCACAAAAACCAGAAATTGGTTTTGGAGATCCAAATCTATATATGCCATGGGCTGACAAACTAGAAACCAATATGGGTTATAAGTTTAAAAATAGAGCATATTTATTACAGGTAATTGACGCTAAAATCTCTCTCTCTCTCTTTCTCTCTTTCCAAATAGTAATAATAATTTTTAAATATAGTTACAAAATTATAATTTTATGTTATAGTCAAATATTGATAAATATATTTATATTTTTATAGGCCTTTACACACCCATCTTTTACAGAAAATAATGTAACAGAAGGTTATCAAAGATTGGAATTTTTAGGTGATGCTATTATTGGTAAGAATGAGGAAATTTATACAAGTTTTTTTATGAATATGTGTACGAGGTGTGATAAAAAAGTAAGATGAATTTTTATACTTATCGAAAAATATTTATTTATTCATGAATATTTATGTTGTCCTCTTCAAAGTAATCCCCCTCAGATACAATACACTTGTGCCAAGGTTTTTTCCAATCGTCAAAGCACTTCTGATAAGCACTTTTTGGTATTGCCTTGAGCTCATCCAGCGATGCGGTCTTTATTTCCTCAATCGTTGAAAACGCCGTCCTTTCATAGGTTTCTTGAGTTTTGTTTTTGGCGAAAAATTCTCTCACAAGCAACGATAAATGAGCAGGTGTATTATCGTGATGCAATAACCATGACTGGTTTTTTCACAATTCCAGACGTTTTTTTCGTATTGATTCATGCAAACGGCGCATAACCTCAAGGTAATACTCCTTATTAACTGTGCGACCTTGTGGTAAGAACTCCTAATGCACTACGCCATGATAATCAAAGAAAACAGTGAGTGTCGTTACTGGTGTCATCTCGGCCTTCTCGGAAGAGTTTGTACCATTTATAAACATTTTTTTTGACTTAAAGTAGACTCACCGTAAGCCACTGTCAAGATTTTAAGTGTTTTGGAGCACTTGATTCCATTTTTCACACAAAATTTGATGCAAACTCTTTAACTCATGTTTTTCGACAGCAGGAAATCGCCGAAAAACACTTCTAATTTTTATGCCTCTCACAAACAAACAAATAAAGCTATATAGCTGAAGCTGTAAATAAATTTCCGGGATAAGTGTACCAACATAAAATTAAAAAAAATCGAAGATCGAACGTACGTAGCCCGCGAAAAACGAAAATTCACCTTACTTTTTGATCACACCTCGTGAATTGGTATACTTAATATATATTTATTATTTTATTCTACAGCGTAATCATTTTTTTCGTTTCATTTCAGATTTCTTAATTACTGCTTACATTCATCAAAATTGGAAATCATTAAATCCTGGCGATGTTACAGATCTAAGATCTGCCCTTGTAAATAATATTACGTTTGCATGCTTAGCTGTAAAGTATGGTTTGCATACATCTCTTTTGGCCTACGCTCCGCAATTAAATGATGTTATTGATCGATTCGTTAAATTTCAAGAAAAAGGAAATCACACGTTTGATAACGAAGTAAATTAATCACATATCATAGTCTACATACCGATATGGATAATATAAAAATATAATTTTTCTCTCTTTTTCTGTTATATTGTATATTTTTATTTAAAAATTCTTAAGCTCGGAGAATAATTTATAAAATTTTAATGAATTATTTTCTTACAGAATCTTTTGATCTTACTTAAAGAAGAAGAATGTAATATGGCTGAATATGTTGATGTCCCTAAAGTTTTAAGTGATATATTTGAATCTTTCATGGCAGCTATATATTTAGATACTGGCAAAGATATTAAAAAAGTTTGGGAAATTTTATATGCTCTTATGCATAAAGAGATTGGTACGTTTTTTAAAAGCGTTTTCATTATCTAATAACTAGTATATTGAGTGTTCTTTTTATTTTTTTTATAATATTATAAGCGCATATGATTCTTATTAAACATAAGAATTTTATATATTTTTACAGATGACTTCAGTAAAAATATTCCAAAGCAACCTGTACGTTTAATCCATGAGAAGCTAGGATCAAATGCTAAGTTTTAGTAAATTTCATTTTATGATAAAACTTTATTTTTCTGTTTTATGAATAGCATAAAATAATTTTTAATTTTTAAATTATTCTTTATAGCTCCGCTACTATAATAGAAGGTACAAATACTATTATGGTACCTTTAGAAATAATAACCAAAAGGGTATCAAAAATTTTTCATGGATTTGGTGCCAATAAAAAACAAGCTAAATGTGCTGCAGCAAAACAGGCTTTAAAATATTTACGTTGTAAAAATGAATAGCTATAATAAGATAAATTTTTATATAGTTTCTATTAATTTTGTAATGATATGTTAAGTTCTTAAATATATTTTTATTAATTTGTCCAAAAAATAAATACTATTAAGTATCATAATTATTACGTTTCATTTTTAACAAATTAGCATTTATTCATAAAGTAATTATACATCTGTTATATTTTTTAAATAGCCCCCATTATTTTGAAAGACTTTGATCCATCATTAACCCTTTCGCTACGGGGCGGATCTCCGCCGCGGTACTCCCGCAGTACGGCGCTCTACACCGAAACAGTGCACGRTGCACGCAACGTTCGAGCCGGTGTCGTAAGACTKATGATCGAGGCATTTGGTTTATTATTGAAGCCCGTAAAAAACAAATGATGCAAAACGAAAGACTCACGCGGCATGTCTAGAGTGAGATACTCTGTGCATAGCAACTGCAGGCGCTTATCATATATACAATTACGCGACATCTTTAGCGGGAGCGACTACAGTCGCTCGTAGTATCTCAGCGGCATCACATGGAAAGCGACTATAGTCGCCCGTAGTACCTGAGTGGCATCACATGGAGAGCGACTATAGTCGCTCGTAGTAGCGAAAGGGTTAAGGCAACTATCAAATTCCTTGACGTTTTACGTCTTCTGTCTTCTCCTAAAGTAGGACACACATATTAAAATATACTCTGTATATTATATTAAATAATGTATATAAATATATTTATTATTTAAATAATACTATTTTCTTATGTATTGTGCGCATACAGATAGCAAAGTAAATATTACTGATTAATAATTTAATTTAAGTTTTTTATTTACTAATATTTTTTAATTAAATTATTGTTATTAATTTTTACCAGGTGCACATTAGAAGTTGCTTATCATTTCTTACTAGCCACAAAAGAAAATTATAATCTTTTTTAGTCACTATATATTTTTTRTAATACTCTTAATTCTTCTAGAAAAAAAAGTATATTAAAATATTTTATGCGAGTTTTAAATCTATATTATAGAAGAATAAAAATCAAATACAGGCATCCCTCAAATAACACGACTTATTGGTTCTGTATAATTCGAAATTGTATTATTCGATACTAATAATATATACAATTTTGGAGATAACGTTATACTACAGACAATCGGTTTTCCTTGTAAGCCAACGATATGTATATGTATATATGTATTGTGTGATCAACTTAATTTTTAATAGTAATTTACGCGACTTCGTGTAATTCGAACTCGTATAGAATCAATCTATATAGTAGATAATTATATTTATCAAAATTGTATAAATTCCTAGAAGTTGTTTTGAAATTTCAAAATACTGTAATGCCTTTTATCAAATTAAACTTAATTGAATCTTTCTTATTGAATTTATAATAGTTTTTTTAAAGCTTAAGATATATTTCAAAATTTGATCCTAGCCAAGATGTGTAATTGGATAGATATAGTCTATTCAATTCTAGTCTATATCTCATAGTCTGCCAGTAAAAGACTTGTAGAAGTGGGGATGATATTCCCGCCAAAAGCAGCGCCGCGTGGCTAGTTTTTGACCACTGCAATTGACCAATCACCAACGCTGGACGACGACCAGTGGAAACTTCCTTTATATCACTAGTGATCCACACAGAAACAGAAATGACGAAGAAGATAGCGAACAAGCACACGAGATCGATAAGACACAGAATTCAACGGTAAGACAAGATATTGGAATTCACGAACGTGTGAAAATATCGACTTTTCTGAATGATAAACCGCACAAGAATGACCAAAATCGGTTCAGCTTCCGCTGAATCCTAGATCATCGTAGCGCGTAGGACGACGCGCTGAGATCACGCCACGTTGATCCGCTAATCAGAACCTCGGGTCGAAGCACGTCACAAGCTTCGGCTAATCCGGCGCTGCCACTTCCTGGACTGGCTACGTGGTTGAACAGATATTGCCACCACCGGACGCGCGCAATTCCGGCGGCTGCTAGGGACCTTCGAAGGTTGGTGCCGGCGTACAGGAAAGTGTCAGCACCGTCCTGGTGAGAAGCGCCGCGACTTAACGAATCGACCGAGAGGTGTCAGCACCGAGCTTGTGCGTGTAGAGGGTTTCTCTATAGTAAAGATAATATTAGACTGAATTTGTTTTATGATTTTTATTTAACGAATGCGATTTGCTTTTCTTTCTTGTACACTTCTCAACGGCTACGCACAGACTGTACTCGTCTRGTGACCAMAYTTGCTAGCGTGGTTCCCTAGCCTTCTAGTAACTTAGATGGCGCGACCATCGGTCGTACCGCTACATGCGGGACGCCACAGACTTTTTAGTGTTAACAACCAATCAGAGGTGATCACTKACACCTCTTGGATGATAATTAACCAATAGAAAAGGCACATTGCTGTTACATCACTCACCTTAGTACGCAAATGTTACACAATGATGATATCAATAGTAAAACTTTAAATTGTATATATTGCAGTTTTTAATTTTTTCTTGTGTTAAATTTATTTATTTATTTTATTTTTTTGATCTATATTGCTAGTAAATATTATAAAATAAATAATTTTTTATATATTTATTTTATTCTAATCTCCTCTGGTTTTATTCATGACAATTTTGAATTTGTRTTGACAACTGTGATAATTATAAATAAAGTTGACCGCCACAAATTGAATTAAGAACAGTTTTTTTTTTTTTTATTTGTGTATTWATATTATTTACAACAATTTACAATTATTATTTTTTCAAATGKCAGATAAAKTATGTTTRATGAAATGATTTAAATTCATAAAATCATTTTTTGTGYGTGAAACGTACAGGCATCTTYTGAATAGCACTGAGTTCGAATTACACGAAGTCGCGTAAATTACTATTAAAAATTAAGTTGATCACACAATACATATATACATATACATATCGTTGGCTTACAAGGAAAACCGATTGTCTGTAGTATAACGTTATCTCCAAAATTGTATATATTATTAGTATCGAATAATACAATTTCGAATTATACAGAACCAATAAGTCGTGTTATTTGAGGGATGCCTGTATTTGATTTTTATTCTTCTATAATATAGATTTAAAACTCGCATAAAATATTTTAATATACTTTTTTTCAGAAAGAATTAAGAATGCTACAAAAAACGTACAATGACTTAGAAGACTATTATTTTCTTCTGAGGCTAGTAAGAAATGATATAGAAAAAATGATAAGCAACTTCTCATATGCACCTGGTAAAAATTAAAAACAATAATTTAATTAAAAAATATTACTATATAGAAAACTTAAATTAAATTATTAGTCAGAAATATTTGCTTTACTATCTGTATGCGCACAATACATAAGAAAATACTATTATTTAAATAATAAATATATTCACATAAATTATTTAATATAATATACAAAGTATTTTTTTTATATGTGTGTCCAACTTTAGGAGAGGACAGAAGACACTAAACAATGACAAAAATGCATTCAAACATGTCTCCTCCTATTTGAATTTGTTTTATGTTTCAATAATTTGTACCAATTTATTTTCATGGAAGGCTCCCAAAAAGATTCGAATTGTATACACACCTATAGTCGTCATCTTATCGAATTCCACAGCACTGTGTTGACAATCTTCTTCTATATATGCTATAAGTTTTTTAATGCTGACAATGGATGTCGAATACATAATTATTTTTAAATGAGCTCAGAAATAAAAATGGAAGTACATACATGTAATTTCTAAGGTGCACAGCAGATAGAAAATAATGAAGTATTTCTAGTTAGATAACCACGCAGTATTGAAACTAAACTGAATAAACCAAGATGACTAAATGTAATTAACTGAATGTATGACATTGGTAAAGACAAGAAATATCCGCGAGCTATAACTTAGAAACAATTTCAAATAGGATACATGTATATACATATTTATATGAACTTTTTTACTTCCAAAGGACTTTCACATATTAAAAAACACCTTATATATATATTTAATAAATGATTAATAGAACAAAAGACTATTTAAGTATTTATAAATAATAACCTTTTTTTGTTTTGTAAAATCTTGACGCAAAGATAAAATATAAATTTAACAAGCTTGAAGTATCAAATTTAAAATAACTATACATTATATATATATTTTTTTGAATAACTTTAAGTATGTTTTTAAATGAATAATATACAAAAATATTTCCAGCTAATTAAGAACAATGTATTGTTTCAGATTTTTTCCCTATAGAAAAGGACGCTAAAGCTGGAGTTAATAAAAAAAGTAAAAAAATTCCTAAATAGTATATCAAATCATATTAAAAATATTGAATACGATAAAGTAATCATTTATTTTTATTTATATTTGAAGAAAGATCGAATAATACTGTTGATCTTAATAAACTAACATTTCTCTTGAAATTTTTTTTCATTAATATTTATTATCAATAAAATCACTTTTTATTCCTTTTTTGACAGAGTATTAAAATATCATAAACCTAAAATTATTTAAAAATGATCTCAAAGTGTTTCTCGTATTACTTTGGAAATATTATTAGCTGTTTTAATAAATTTTACATTTTACGATATACTTCTAATATACAATTAAATATTATTAAGAGAAATATTAAATTACAATGTTATAATAGATCTAAAGAGAATAACATAAATGAAGAATGCAAACGAAATAATATTATGCGTCCCTCGCAATTTAATGAATATAATTTTTTTGATAATCGCATGATCGATGTAAATGTTTGTATTATTGGTGGAGGCTTGTCTTCCATTTATACAGCAGTTTTTTTGAAACAATCTCGTTTTATAAAAGATATACATTTAGTTGATTTAAGTGGAAAATTAGCTGGTACCGTTTTTGATGCAAATCACATTGATACTACTATTCGTATAAAGTATTTTACTAAAAAATTAATTAGAAAAGCCTTGGTAAAAGTACGTTACTATAATTATATTATAATAATGAAATGAAGAAAAAGAAAAAATCAATTATAATTTATTTTTAGACAAATATTGTTGCACTTATGGATGAGTCGGATTTTAATATTGATAAAGATCCATATATTCAGCTTAATAGGTGCTCGAAATATATTCATCAAATGGTAGAGCATATAATCGCAATTTGCCCTACAGCACTTGTTGCAATTTTTACAAAACCTGTAACAGCAACGATGTCGATGGTATCAGAAATTTATAAACATGCAGGCAAATGGGATCCAAATAGATTGATTGGTTCAGTTTCTACAGAAGTAATGCGAATTGAAACAATAACTGGAAATATCTTAGATTTGAATCCTGCATCTATAACAGTTCCAATAGCTGGAGGAGCTGATTTAAATACTATTGTTCCGCTTTTATCATGCACCAAGCCTGTCAATGAATTTACAAGTGTACAAGTAAAAATATCTTCTTTTCCTTTCGTGTAATAATAAAATATAAATAATTATATATTAATTGTTTAGGGTCAAAGTGATACATTGATAGAATTATTTCAAGCAACCAAACAAGATCAAATCAATTTTAAAGTGAAAAAGTTAGCTCTCTTGAATGGATCAGCTGCAGCAAAGTTAATCTTGACTCTTGTCGGTGGTTTAAACAATCTCGACAATGTTTATGCATGTGCGTTTGTACGTTCAAATGTATTGCCAGTATGTCGTTTCTTTACATCTCAATTACAATTTGGGATTGGAGGAATAAAGAAAAATTTTGGTTTACCAAAAGTTTCATCTTTGGAAGTTAATATGATTGAAAGAGCAATTCCAATTATTAATGAGTACATAAGAATGGGAATGAAGGCTTCTAATTGTAAATAAATAAAATCACATCTTAAATTTATTTATTTATTATTAATATTTTACAAATAACTTATATTGCTATTCAAGGTTTCTAAATTTAAAAACTATTATCTTTTAACATATTAATAGTAATCAAATATTAAAGATATTTTAATATATTAACTTCTAATCATTGAAATTTTGTGTCAATTGTCTATTACATTAAAATTTACGAAAATATGATTGGTTATATTTTCAAGCAGTGATTAGTTATTTCTGTTTGCTCTTTAAGAAACGAGCTAATAGATAACCAATCACAAATTATTAAAATTGAAAAAGAATATAAATCTGCGAAATCTAACATAGGTTTTAAATTTATTTAGTTGGTACGATTTTTCATGGCTATTCTATAGTTGCATTTTAGTAGCTTCTTAAAATTTCTTTTGTGGTTAATTTTTTTTTTCCTACAAAATTCATGTAAATCGAAAAGAAAAAATAAACAATAAAAAATATTAACAATAGTGGAAAAATAAGTGATCTATTAAATTTAGTTTGTGATTAAAATAGAAAATAAATAAATATATATATATGTAGTTTTTCATAACAATATGCAAGTAAACATTATCCTGTTGGCATCTGGAAAATCTTTGTAGGAAGCAAGTTATAAATATCGGAACAAAACGCGGGTGTAGTTATATCAGGTTTAAAAAGTAGAATCGTTACATATATATATATATATATATGACAATTGAATTTCGAAGTTAAATTTAAAAAAATAAAACACATAAATCTTTTGTGCATCAGATACTAATTCTGACATAAGAATTGACAATAATAACCAATCAACTTTAATAATTTATTTTTTCTTAACAAAAGGAAGGACGTGACCATCGTAATCATCATTTGCAAACATGGGAATCATTTTGTCCACATTTCGTGTGAGTATTATTTTCTCATATTTTTATATTGTAATAACTTTTTTATTATATACTTCGTATTTTTCATCATGAATAAACTTTTTTATATTAAAGAGGTTATGTGTTAGATTTGAAATAGTTCATTAAAGGTTTTCATATATTATAAGATAAACTTTTAATATTATTATTATTATTACAATTATTATAATTATATTTTCCTCTTTTTTCTATAATCAAACAAAGTAAAAAAAGATGTGCATGAATAATATTTTTATTTGACAACTATGGTTATTTTTAGAACCAAGACAGGCTCGTTGTATCTTATATTTCATTATTATTTTAAGATATTATATAAATTATACACATCGATTTTAAATATCTTAAAATAATCATTATAGTTACAATTTATTTTAAAAAATAATTGTTAATATATAATATAAATCATTGTTGAGTTAATCTCCACGTTTGAATTAAATTCATTGTGTAGAATGAATTCTATTAAAATATTTATCTTCAAAATTTAATGCGTTATCATTTTTTGAATTCTATATTGTTGGGATGATTAGTCAAAATTGAAAGATAATGAATACAATAAAAAATGCTAGGTGAACTCTTACGCTTTTGGTTAATGTATTTGCATAAAATAGTATTGAATATTTTTCTGGTATTAGTATTTAAATAAATTTTAAATATTTTTATTTTAAGACTACTATACTTTGAACAAGATGACTTTGTATTTTTTATAAATTATATTTGTTATAATAAAAAATTCGTTTTTATTTTGTTACAGAGAAAAAAAACAACTATTGAAATTTTAGAAGAATTAGATTCTGTAAGAGAAATCTTTGTTTTATGTTATGCATATTTATTTTTATTTTATTGTTGTATAAATTATAAGATTTGTTCTCTTCTTTTTTTTATAGAAAATAAAAGAAATACAAGAATATGGGCAAAATACTGAACAAAGGCATAAAAAGATTGTTGGAACACTTGTCATTTATAGTGTTACTCTTTACATCACGACAGCCTTCATTTTCTATTTTTACTTCTTCCCAGCCTCTTTGTACGATCAATTATTCTATATTACTCCGTTATTAATTTTTCCAATTTTGTAAGTATCCTTATTATTATTTGTTCTTTTCTTCTTCTTTTTTTCTTTTCTTTTTTTTCCTTAAAATTGATTATATGTAAAGGCAAGCATATAAGTTAATTGATTAATTAATTTCTAAATGAATTGATAATAAATATGAAGAGAACATTATGTATTACTACAGAATACTGTTAACTAAAAAAATGGTATCGTGGTACTACAAACAGAAAATATCACAGAATCAAGAAAAATTGATAATAATGCAACGAGAGAAGACTAAAATTTTAGATGAAGTTACCGAAACAGAAACTTATAAAAAGGCCAAAGAAATTTTATTGAGATTTGCACCGGATCAACTTAAAATGACATCAGTAAGTCTAAACAATTGTATTAAGTAAACAATAAAGAATCTCATATGTTAACAGTAAAGGTAAGTAATATACTTTTTTAGAATTCTGCAAGTGTAAGTTATAATAATGATTGCTGGTTATACTATTTAATACATAAAAGAAAAATAAGGTTCTAAATTGAAAAATTCTAATAATTGTATTTGGATTAATGAATGTTATTGTTTTTTAGGCACCTATTAAATTACTACCACAGGCAGTAGAAAAATTACGACAACCTAATGTAACACAAGTTATTACTTCTTCTTCACCTGGTATGGAAGAATTAAGAAAAAGAACTATAGGAAATTCAAATCAAACGCTCGATGTTTCAAGTGGTACCAATGCTCAAATTTTATCTGTTGATGCAACTCCTACTAAAAACACACCGTTAAACAGTTCTCTTCAAAGTGGTTCTAGAATGCTTAATAGGACATCTATGGGAAACAGTTAGTACCATTTCATGTTTATATAATAATAAATAGTATTTAATTATTTGTAATAATTGCACTGATATATTTATTTTCTGGTAATCATTTTATTTATATTATTTATTAATATAAAATTATATTACATATTAGAATCGCCTGAGTATACATTAGCACGCCCCATACTGCCGCATCAGAGAAGCGTTTTTGACCGATTAATTGATTACTTAGTTGGTGATGGCCCATCAAATCGTTACGCTTTAATTTGTCGTCAATGTGAATATCATAATGGAATGGCTCTTAAAGAAGAGTTTGAATATTTAGGTGAATAAGATTTCTGAAAATCTGTTAACTTAAGAAGTAGAAAATATATGAAGAAACGTAATACTTGCATTCTTAGGATTCAGATGTTGTTATTGCAATTTTTGGAATCCTCCGAAAAAGCAAAAGCCAGGTGTTCAAAAAGTAGAGGATCTTTCTAATATTTCTCTAACCTCTGCTACATCTAAAGTCGAATTATCCAATAAAACCACTGAAACAGCTAAAATTTCAGAAATAGATGCGTTATGTTCGTCTGATACTGGTAATCAAAATACTGTGTTACTTTCTTGATTTAGATAAGCATATACATATATTTTATAGATATTTTATTTTTAGATTCAGATATTGAATTAGTCGAAAAACCGACAGAAATATCGGAAAATCGAGATCAGGTTGATGACGATTCCAATAAAGGTAAACATTACATGTTTATCTATTATATTTCTGTAATATTTTGTTTAATATATTTTGAACCCTTTCGTTACTAATAACCCATATACGGTCGTCCATCTGAATGAGCTCGTATGAACAACCAACCGATCTAAATAGGGATTCTAACGTGCAACGATACCCATATAAACAAAGCATTCCGTAACGAAAGGGTTAAAAAAAGGAGATAATATTTTTTTTATTTTTTGATGTATACTTATTTTTTAATTAATTCCAAGTAACTGTTTCGTAATTAGGAATGCAAAGCTCGCAAACGAACCAATTCAACACAAATCCATTCGCGGAAGATATGGAAATTGATGATTGATATTATTAATATTCAGTCGGCATAGGTACTCTTTATTATTGTTGATAATGACATCAATAATGCAGCGCAATATAATAAAATTATGTTTTATGTTCAGTAGTGGTCAATTATATATATATATATATATATATATAAAGGTTAACAATGATGGAATAATGAAATTTTCGATAATTAAAAATAAAATCATTCCAAGTTATCTTTATGTAATTTGTAATCGGAATTGCATAAAGATATTAAATAGCACAGTATAATAAAATAAAATATACAGTTCATTTTTTTTATTTTTTTTTTTTTGGGATGATAAAAAATAATTATGCTTTTCAGTTTATATCAGAATAATGTTTATATTATTATTATTTTTACAATCATGAGTCATTTAGCAGTAGAAGAAAAAGAATAATCAAATTCTTATATTGTTTAGTATAAAATACGTATTTTATATGAGACTGTTTTATCTTTATAAATAGAGAAATAAATAAGTATTTATATTAAAGGAAGAATCATTTTTGTAAGAAAATATGATTAAAATGTGAGGTCAATTTTTTTGTCTCCTTATATATTTTTTGGGGAATGGAAAAAACAAATCATATTACTTTTTAATGTAATTTTGTTGAGATACAATTAATTTATCTAATTTTAAATTCTGTGATGATTGATATTTTCTTGAAAGTGAAATTTTATATTATATATACACAGCACACACTCATACAGACATACTTGACTAAAAATTAGTAAGTAATTGATATTATATTTTTAAGTATTTAAAAAGCTGGTCTCGAAAAAACTTTACTTATATATAAAAAAATAATATAGCATTTTAAAGATATTTTAAATGTTTACATTTAATAAAAAGAAAGTAAGAGAAAATAATTACAATATATATTTAACGAGAAATTTGCTACTCAAAAAGAAAAAAACAAAGAATATATTTGTTAAAAGAATATTATAAATTCTGCCAGATAAAAGCTTAAGTGTTATCTTGTGAAGAATTAAATATTATTAAGAAAAAAAAATGATCAAAGAAAATATTTGTCAGGAGGCACGTTAGTTTCTTTAACGTATATTATTATATATATAGAAATTTATTATACGCTTAATATAGTAGACACTCCCGTTGTTTTGGATTTATATTGTATCAAATGTAATCTCCAGAAACAGAAAACAAAAACAACGTATATATTTGTAATATATAAATGTATATGTATATATTTATTATAAATTATATATGCTATACATATACAAATTTTAAAATTTAAATAAAATTTTACATGAATATTTTTATAAGAAAAGAAAAATTATATTTTTATTGTCTCTTAAGAATAATCTACAATATTTATTTCTTTTCTTTTTCATCGTTTATTTGTAAATCATTTATTATATTTTATTGTGTCTCTTTAAGAGTGAAAATTATTATCATTTTTATTACCAGTATTTCGGATAGAAATTAATACAGTTTTTTAAAACTCCTCTTATATATGTTATTTATACAGATTTTTCTTTTCTCTTTGCTATTGCATAGGAAGAAAAATTATTCGAATAATTGTAATAAAAATTTAAATTTTATTTATTTATTTTTGTTTAAAAATGCTTATGTAAATCATTGCATTTGCTTTTATGGTTATTTAAACTATTTTTCACGGAGCCTAGATACCAGGAGGGCAATCGACATAGGAAAATAACTAGCAAACGCGACTGGAAAGAAAAAGAAAGATCATTATCGGAAATACGCCGCTAGGTTTCGTTATGTTTACTAATGTCAAGTTTATAACGTCATATTTTTCATTGACAATTGTTGACAATACTGCATCATTAACAATTGTATTAATGTTTTTTTAATTTATAAAAAGTAATATTTATTTAAAAATGGTAAATAAGTGTATTGTTCACGGGTGTACAAGTGGATGAGTCAGGGATCGTAATAAGAATGCTAAAATTAATCAGAGAAATACGTCTTTATTCACTTTACCACAGATAATATAACCTTAATTGATAGTTATTAATTACTAATATAAAAAAATGCAATGATGCAAATGGTAAAAAGTCTAGTCTTGTAAAAAGTGCAATTTACGATAATAAATTATAATTTACTTTTAATTGGACTTTTTTAATTTAGTTTTCCATCCTTTACTCAACTGCGACTAGGTAAGATGAAATTGAATAGATTTACACAACAAGTTGACGATAATATCTTGGAAATAATTGTAAAATAATAAAAAAGTTTTTCTTATTGCTATTTTTAACGTTAATTATAAGATTTGGTTAATTTATTTTGACTAACCAGTGAAGCCAGATCGTAGAATATTTCTACCCCTTCTCTCGAGTCCAGGACGCCTCGCACACAACGAAATGTTACGTGTCGATGTGTCGGGAAACCGAAAGAAGCCGAGGGAAGCCGAGGTTAGATGCGCAACAGAGGAGAAATAATACCCCCACCACGCGCCGCGGAGAAATACATTTGAACAATGTGTAAAACAATGTGTATTGTGTCCGTTTTTCTCGAAACTACGTTTTTGAAATTTTGCGGAAGCACTCACTAAAAACTATAGAACCGATTGGGCTAAAATTTTTATCAGTTATTCTTTACACATATTCTGATGCATGATACCTCAAAAATCTTTAATTTTTTAATAATAAATATATTTTTTTAAACAAATAAAGGTAAAAAAAAGCACCGATTTTGAAAAAAATTTTTCACACGTCCGTCATTTTTTTTTTTTTTGAAAAAAATATACATATTGTTGGTATCATGTCTATAATTAGGCCTAAAGAATAATAAGTATTTTTAGTTTTTTTGTTTCAGACGGCTACAAAGGCTCTGTGCTTCCGCAAATTGACTTAGGGGACTCCAATTTAATGTTAAAAAAAAGGACAAATCTTGCCCAAATTAGGTTAAAAAAATTTTTTTTGTATAGTTTAAGATAATGATAAAAACATATTAAAATTTTAAGACGATCGTATTTTGTTTTTCTATTCAAACAAATTCATGAAAAAGCATTGAAATTTCGGTCTTCACAGGGGGGTACTACCTTAAAATGTTTGAATCATTCGCGCGCAATCACGTGACTACATAAGTTCCTGTCCCCTAAAATTCTTTGGCGCGTCCCTCCTACAGGGTCCCTAGATTGAGCAACGTCTAACACAGTTGATCATTAACATCTCATTGGTTGGTAGTCACACCAATAGAAAAAGACACGCCGGACCATCGCGTGTCGCCTTGCGAGGAACGGATAATCCAAAAGGATTTCTGTCCACTTCTTCTTAATCCGAACACTAAAGAGAATAAACCCCGTTTTCCAATTACAGCACTAAAGCGCATTATGCGGCATAATGCTCAAGGTTGAATGTTCCAACTAGAGCATCGCATCGCACAATCGAACACTGTAAAAAGTGTTGCGCTCGAGCGATGCGTTCAATCGATACCAACTCAGTAGCAGAAAATAACCAAGTGTTTTTTCTTTAAGTTGGCATTGATCGAAATTGTATGTATATTATCGTTAGTAATATTGTTTATTATTGAAAAAATTCTTAAAGCTTTCTTCTCGTCGTAGTTTTTTGGAAATAATAAAAAGTTAATTCAGACTGTGTTAAAAAATAAATATAAGTATGGATGAAGGTCATCGACTATTTTTTTTTATATTCTACACATAAAATGTGAATACAATTTCATTTTAAAATTCAAAACTATAAATAAATTTATTTTACAGAAATATACTTTTGTCAACATTGCAATGGCTTGATCGAATCATTATTATTGTATACCACTTTATTTATACATTAATGAGGTTGCTAAGTCTATGAATATTTTTTGTTTCAACACTGAACCTAGCGCACTCTGCTGGTGCACTTGAAAACTAATTCATGTTCCAATTAAGCATTAGCACAATGCGGCATTGTGCGGCACTGAGTCGCATTATGCTCTGTAATTGGAAAACGGGGATAATATCTAAAACATTATGTGGTGGAAAGTATAAGTTCTGGTAAAATAGCGAAGTGCATCCTCCACATAATGTCGTCAATTGTGTATAAGACTTAATGCTATGCTAGTCCAATGTTTGCGTTCTTAAAATTACAAAATAGTGTCAGAAAATTTCACACTTGTAAACACGCTTGAATTCGGATATTAAAAATAGTGCATTATCGACGAGGAATTATCGTTCGAGGTAAATCTAATAATTATATCGACATCGTCTAACAAAAATTGTTAAATTGTTTTAAATCGATGTAACATTAATTGAAATAACTTTTATATGGAAATAATATTCTACTACAATTCATATCGTCAATAATTTACGCAATTGTATTTGGAATCTTGTTCTTGGTATGCTTGTCTATGATTTTATTCGCATTTATATGTTAACAATCTCAAATTTTGTCATTGAATAATACATTTGTTGGATATCTAAACAATGAAATATTTATTGTGACGTAACATTTTTTAAGTTTGTTAAATAAATTTATGATCAGTTGATAAGTAATAACGTATGCGGTGCTTTACAGTAGTTCAATAGGGTGCCATAACAATGTCTGCTTAATTGTAGAAATGGCCGCATCGACTCTGCATTGGTATTCTTTTTCGACACATTTTTATTTCTATATTTCACTTTTAAGTTATTATAACGTATTCATTTGATTTAAGCTTAATTAACATCTAGTTTTTAAGTTTATTTGATAGAAGTTAATTATGTTTTATTATTTCGTTTATACCAAACACGTGTATCATTTTTCTTCTTTTGGGATTGATTTATTGTAGTACTGACTGTAGTAGAATTTTGTCTATACAGGTAACCCTCCTCTAACACGGTAAATTGGTTACTAGAAAATGCCGTATTGTGTGAAACCGTGTTGTATGAGATCCAGATCCATGAGCCAAAAATTTTTGTTTTCAGGCCATGGAGATGAATAGAAATACTTTCCGCAACTCTGTATCTTTAAACGGCAAGCCTCACCGCGTTTGTAGAAGTACAGTGTTATACGTTGTACAAAGGTTTTTTTTTTGAAAGAAAACCGTGTTGTAGGATGCAGTGTTGTAGGAGGGTTACTTGTATTTGCAAATTTTTTTTTTACATACACGTTTATGTTATTCATATAAGATTAAATTTTATGCTTTATATTTTATGCCTATCTTACATTGTTATAATAATGAAAAACTAATTCATTGAATTTTTATCAGAGATAAAGAAAAATGCCGGAATTAACCGAACTAGATAAAGCTGCCAGCTCTGAGCCCACAAAAATTGAG